ACACCACTAAAGCATTCAAGTTTAGATACCATTCCATAGTAAAAAAAATAACCTATAAGACGCTTAGTGTTTAGGTATGTTTTATCCTCGCATCCTGTACATGATGTACAGGATGCGGTCTTTCTGTATTCGATCATTAGCCGTACTCGAAACACCATTCCTTTGAAAACAAAAGTGAACGCGAACTTACCCATGATCACAATACGGCCGGTAGAGAACAGCTTCAGTGAAGTACTTGAGTTTGGTTCTGTCTTAAAAGTTAATCCCGGCGCTAGTTCGGGTTCGTAGCTGAAGAAATGCGGTCGACAGGGAAAGAGTAATCGAGTGAGCGAATTACGCAATAATTTTGTGAAATATGAGCAAGAAACTAGTATATTGCAAAATTAAACACCCTAACCCCATCTGAATATGTCCCGGATAGCCATACACCACACAAAATACCAGAGGATATGTCGCTGGACAAAAAAGGAGACGGGACGAGAACGACCTTTATTTTCAAAGATCCTTAGCTCTCCTTTTCTGTTGAACATAAGAGATGAGACGACCTTTAGCGAGAATGAAGTAATCAATTAAAAGGTGTCTAGGATCATGTAGAGGTGAACAACGAAAGGCTATCAGATGACGCGGAGTATTAAGGGACCGTAGCGGAATTTAAACGCTGAGCACTAAGCCTTAAATGGACAAATAGTGAAATAGATAAGCGGACTGACTAAGCACGATGAATATCGCTGATTGGTGTAGTTTGTCGTTTTTCATCCCCTCTAGAGTCAGTCAACAAAACTATAGCGGAAAACGGTTACGCAATGTTGCACTAAATTTACTTATGTTTTCCCTTAATGGAAAAGTTTAGCTGCCCCAACCTCAATAAACCGATGACCAGTAGTTCAATATTCCAACGTCAGTTCAAACAGCTAAATAAACCGCATCCACATTGCACGCGTGCGTGACCGTGAGAACCGGTGGGCAACAATAGCTAGTGAAATGGAAGAAGCAGCTGCATCAGGGAATACTCAGACTGTTCCAACTGACACGCAATATGGGAGGTCGGCGAACTTCAGTTAGTGAAACAGACTGCGATAAGAGGAGACGGGTTATTCATAATAGGGATCAACGACTCGATCACTGGTCAGAATACTTCAGCGAACAATGCAGCTGGTCTAGTGCTAACCACGCTACTTCATCTACAACTGAAGCTCCGTGGGCAATGTCATGCGATCCTCGAACGGAAGCAGAAGATCGGTCTTGCATTCAAGCTCGCTGTACGATGATGATGAGGCGTGCGTAGAGGCCACCAGCTTTAAAAACATTCAGTCGCCATTAATGCCTCATTCAGTATTGACAAACGACAAGCCGGAAGCAGAATACACAGCCAATAGTCCACCCTAGGAAACACGCACCATGCTATACAGTTCAGTTCTTACAACCATTAATCATGCACTTTCGTGCGCCGCTTTTGGTTGCCCATTTGGATAAAAACGCAGAATGATGATTAGAATGTTGACAGCAGATTTAAGTGGAAGGTAGCACATTTTCATAGACTGAAGTTACAAGAATAATGAGTAGATGCATGAGCGCCAGTGCTTGCGACACCCAGCCATATCGCTGTGTCTCTAACCAACGGTGACCATGATCTCTGGGTCCCCAGCCACGGAGCCTAACGGGACCTATGTGAGACAATCTCCTGGTCAGGGTTTTCATACTCTCATGCCCTCATGCCTTAGCTTGACCGCCCTTCGTTTTTTTCCAATCGCTACCTACCTCGTCAAGCACCGCTCGCCGTGGCAACCTATCTGGTGACATGCCTAGCACATGTCCCAACCAGCGTAATCTAGAGGTCGACTACCTGTTCCAGTGGACGACCGCGATTATCTAAAACTCTACACAGTATTGCTCTTCCGGTTTCCCCACCAGACTCATGCAATGCTACGTAAACAGCGGGGTTCGAACACTGACAATCTATTTTTATCCTGTTCCCGTAATGGCCAAGTCTCTGCACCCCAAAGCAGAACTGGCCGACCTGCTGCAGCATATACTCGACCCTTCACAGACAACCGGATATCGCCACGGCGCCATGCCATACAAGTGTTCAATTGTATCTGTTACGCGTATGTTACTAAAAAGGTCTTTATAAAGAATGCTTGAACATACATACATCGACTACGAAAGATTGGAAAACGTCTCATATAGCGAAGAACGTGGTCAGCTGGTCTCCTGACCGAACCGGTTTACAGAAATTTTAACGTTGGTAACGAAGACCAAACTTATGAAAAAACTTACTATCGGAACTTCACTTATTCAAAGTCACACACAACGAAACGAATGTCTCCGAGGAATTTGACCTGGCGAGAATAAAACGCGCCTTATTAGATCGTAGCGTTTCCCCCTACGGTAAGGTCGTGTTTCTGATACGGTATCTGGTTCTACCAACGCTGTCCGCAAGGTTCCACAAGGATCAGTGCTTGGATTTTACTAGATTTTACTCGCATTCATAAACGATCTACTGAATGTTTGGGGGGCCCAAAAACAACACTCTTTGCCGGCTACATTCAAATATGGAACGCAATAACAACTGATCCAGTGGACTCTTGGGAAAGACACTGAATTCAATGTTCATAAATGCAAAATGTTATCACCAAATCACATGGGCTGATTCTTCGGAAATCAATTGCTGCCACGTGCCTCAAGTAAGAAGAAGTAAGAAGGAGTTGTCGTTCAAAAGCACTTAAACTGGTAGATTAAATATATCAGGGCTTTGGCATCAGCTGTGAAGAATGTCGGTTTGCTTGAACAAATCACAATCAGAATGCACGTTGACGTGGTATGATAGCTTGTGCACTTTTTTTGACCCAACAAGCTACACAGGATGACTTTATCAAGCCAGGGTACCTTATCATGCCTGGAAGATTAGAGGGCAGAGGTCAGACGAAACTCATTCTCCAGGTCTCCCAGGTCGGGTGTGTGACTAGAGTTGGCGTCTGTCGGTAAAAAGTGCTGGAGGAGTAACTGATCCAATTTAATGGGTATCCACTCTGCTTTACCCGCTGCCTTGTGGTTAGGTTCTTGTCAAAACTAAAGGCTTTGGCTAAGAACCTTGATGAATTTCCTAATTTGTGATTGGACTCCTTAGTAGTACCCGTCCAGAAAGCTCCAATGAACACTAACTAAAAGCAATTTTATACTGGATGGGTCGTCGCGCAGGATAATCAGGACCGCGCTGCGCATGGCAAGAGCGAGGTTTGGTAGTGAGAGCATCATTGGTTGGTTGCTATCAACCGTCTACTGTCAGCGCACATTTGATTGCATCCAAAGTAAACCATTCGGGTCTGGAGTTCATGAGTTTAGTTTAAACAACCATTGACCATACACTTTTGTACACCGGTTTTGGTGGCTGTCTTTTGGATGAGGAATAGGAGAAAGACAGGAAAGGTTGAAGGTAGAGTCGAACAGAAAATTGAGAATTTCAGTGGTCTAGAGTTGCAAAGAAATCCATAAGATCCACGAGCGCCACTGCCTACGACACTCAGACAAATCACTGTCTCTAACCATCGGGTACGACCATCCCGAGGTCCCCAGCCAGGGAGCGTGACGGGACCTATGTGACTCAGACTCCTAGTTAGGGTTTTCATACCCTCATGCCAGGTCTTAGCTTGACCACCCTTGGCTTTCATCCACCCACTACCTGTCTCGACAAAAAGCGCTCACCGTGGCAAACCAATTTGGTGACATGAATACAAAGTGACTGTAAAATACCACGTCTACAAAGGATAGCCACCAAAATAGTTCAGGGTGGCCATTCCCATACATATGTGGAAAGATAACAATCATCGAGACTATGTTCCTCTCAGTAATACTGAATTCGAGAACACTCCTATTTATATGTCAAGTACGGTAGAACGAAAGACTTAGTCGTCGCTCACTGCTAACAATAGGAAGCAACGATCATCTGGAGAATCATTCATTTCAAATAGCCCAAAAATGCCGACCAATCCACGTCAGTATCAATCTTTTCCGACCAGAAGGTGCACCCCATGGAACTCTCTGCTATCCCAGGAAGATGAAT